CAATTATTAGTATACACAAATAGAGTACAATATAAAACATAACAAATTAATACATTTGTACTAATTGAGGTTCAATGTATTTTTATAAATAAAACATTTGCTACCTCACAAACTCATACAAAGCTTTACATATAGCAATAATGTTCATATTGTTAATTAATATCGTTATTATGAATTTAATTGAAATATTGTTTCAAATAAATTAAAATAATTATTTTTGCGTTATATTTGAATATTGTTTTATTTTACTTTAAATGTGATGAGAGAGAAAGAGAGAGAGAGAGAGAGAGAGAGAGAGAGACTTAAATAACATAAATATATATTGGATATTATATAATTCAATATAAATATATGCGACAAATAGTGTATTATGTGTTCAGTATTGACTTTATTATAAAGAGATAATAAAACTATTAATAATATTTAAGTATTAAATAGTTTATTACAATTTTGTGTCGCGATATTGAGTTGTGTTGCCATCCGTATTACAAATACAACTAATCAAACAACCCTAGTGTGTAGGTGTTATAACAATTATCACGATCGTATTATAGCACTGAAATAGGGATAGGGTTAAAATTAACTATAATGTTTGTATGAAAAGCAACATGTTTCTTTAATTTCTCTAATAAAAACTAATTAGCAATTTAACTAATTAATTATATTTAAACTTTTTATCAAATTAAACACAGCATACTTAACATGTTAATTATTTAACAAATAAAATGTGCTTTGTAAGACCCAATGTCCCCCACTGTTTTGAGTGGGAAGTTTTATGAAAATGAATGGTACTTTTAATTAGATATATTATTCATTTACATGTAATTTAATTACATTTGTTATATATTTTTTTGTGTTTTCGTTGCGAAACCTTTTCATGTGATAAAGAATGACACGAGAAATACAAATCCTATTAATCCTTAAGACAATTGAAGTTTTTGTATTTTAATTAATAAATTGATTCACAAAATTGTTTTACCATATTACTAGTCTTACGCGTAGTATTTTATGTGTACATGTAATTTTTATTTTTACTTAATTATTTTGGGAGAGAATGTAATTAATTAAATCTGAAAAATTACGACAGTTGTCGGTATTTTGTGAGACACTTACTGTATGTTTGCGTACATATGAACTAAAAAAATAAAAACAAAACTACAAATTAAATAGTTTTACAAACATTTTTCACATAATTGTAATAACTATTCAATTTGTTTTACGTTATAAACCGGTCATTTACGTCAATGTGAAAGCATTAAAACAATTTTATACACATTGTTAACTATATTTATACAAACATTCAGTCATTCTAAGAATATTCTGTACAACACATAGAATATTCTGTAGGCATTGTTTTATTAACAAATCAATAAATATTATTATACAGAGTGTTGACTTAATTGATGTCTATAAATAGCAACACCGGTATTAACGTGTGAACTACAGTCTAAGCCAATTGAGTATATTGTTGTGAAATAGATATTGATGAATTTGACGGATTAATAACACTATTTATTAAATAATAAAGATTAATCAATTAAATGATTTCGGTTATAATAAAAATAATACGTGGTCATTTTGTTAGCACACAAATAACTTTATTTCATAAATCATAGAATTTAGGCAATATAATTTAATCCTGATTATTATATTAAACATGTTGCTAGAAAACAGCGCAAAATATACCTAATAAATATTTCATCAAATAAACATGTTTTTCTCATATTTTTATATACACTTTGTTATAATATTACCATACAGTATCATAGCTAAGTGGTACAGGTATTCAAATATGTATTACATAAATATTAATGCCATAGATATTACCATTGAATGCAATGATCGACACAAATGATTGGTCTGAATGACAGGTGTATTAGAGGTTAACAATAGGGCTATTGAATGAATGAATGGTAAAAATGGGCAAAAGTTTGTGCGGAAATGCATAGAAATGGGGACCAAAACTGTCACAACTTTTCACTGCCTCAGGCGCTCATTGAGAGGACGGGTGGGTATGGCGTACAAAGTTTGGGCTCTAAAACATCCCAATCCATAGCATATTAGATGCAAATTTATCATATTGCCTTAAATTAATTAATTAAATTTTATATTTATAAGAAAATATAATCAATAAAAACATAATTTTATTTATAATTTAAGTTAACAAATAACTAAAACATATGTACAAAATTAAATTACAAGTATTTAGTAAATGAACACAAATGGGTAAAAATAATGACCACTTTAATTAATCTATTATTACCCAACACAGTGTTATATTGTACAGTATAAGTTCAAGTAAAAGATAAATGCTATTAATAATAAAATCAAATTCAAAAATATTAATACACTATATTATTTGTATAAAAATTTAAGTAATATTTTGCTTCAAAAATAAAAATGAGATTCATTTGTTATTATTAAAAACTTTTTAGTTAATAAATTAAGGCGAAAAAATTATTATGGTGTTAACAGAATAGGGTTAATTATGCCTTATAAATATTCTATATAAAAACACAACAAAATCATTATGTCCAGTTCTGGGTTTGATTTTCTAATAAGAATTCAGTGTTGGTCGAAATTAATGTGGTAACCCTAGTCGAGTACCTGTCCAACAGGTTTTCCAAGGGTTCAGAGTTAACGACAAGGTATGACTGACGGGCGAACTAAAGCGCCATTTCTGTGTCCGTCAAAAATAATTTAAATTATTGTTCAAATGGAAAATGATATGTATGTATGTGTGTGTGGATGGGGTGTGAGAGCACTGGTACCTTATATCCGACATCCCAGGAGTACTTCCCGTTATCATTGACACTGCGTTGCCATTGGAGAGACACCAGTCCTCTAGTGTCCAAAAAAGTGCGGCAAACGTCCCGAAGACGGGTCGACGTCAGCGACAGATTGTTGAGCGAAAAGCTGTCCAAATGTTGGCATATATTCTGCAGAATCTGTTCCCACATAAGAGAAGTGACCACAAAAACAGAAAATTCAATTCAAAAGTACGGCTCAAACGCATACCTCAAACGGCAATAACGACATACTGACGGGTTGGCCGTCACTGTAGGCCTGTGCGGGTGTTTGAGGCACTAGATCGCCACCACTACCACCACCACCATGGTCATGTTTTTGGTGGACAGTGCGGATGTGCTCTTCATATTTATCGCGACGGACATTCTGTCCACAAGTGAAACTGTAATTCAGTTCCTGACTATCAATGAGGCCATACGACACAACTGTGACCATCCAATCAACTTTACAACAGATCCAATTGGCCGGACAGTGGAACAGATGGTCCCTCATATCGCGCCAATAGACCAGCGCCGGACACCCGTTACACCAATTCAAGCACTGAGTCTATGGGGAGAGAGAAAAGTGGTAGTGATATGTGGGATCAGGTGCTGGTGATAGTGATGACAGACCTTCTGATAGTGACAAATGGATAGATGATCATTGAGTTTGCATTCGTGCATCACTTGCGGACAACCGTTGTTATGGCAGCCGACCAGAGGGCAGACCACGTGACCATTAGTGGCGATCATCGCCGGTGTCTTTGTCCGACACACCGACGGCTTAACACATGTCTCGCAGTGTTTGTGAATCGTGTCTTCAATTGTCATATGATTTGTAATACAAATCAAATTTTGTATTATGTTTTGCATTACAAATAATAACACAATTTCGCTGATAATAAAACAACAATTAAATGATAGTTTTAATGAATAATAACTAGTAATCACTGACTACTGTATTTGATATGCAATTAGTGTTGAAACACATAAAACACGGCATTAATTGTTAGACAATGTTTCCACTGATGTGTGACTTTACGTATCAACACATTTAGTTTTATTATCGCATAATCATTAAATTGACGTTATATGTGTTACAATTAATTAAAATTTAATTATTAAATGCTAAATTAAATGTGTTTATACAATACTGTATAGTATACAGTACTGCTGTCCAAAAGGGGGAAAACAAGTGGGGGAAAGCAAATTTAAGGCTGGTTTATACAAAGCATATTAAAATATTGAATCAAATATTACTTGTAATGAAATCTATGTTTTCAACTTTTATGAATGAGATGACTTAGTTTTAATGTTTGTAATGCCACCCTAACAGTTGCACTCTAATAACCTGGGTTACAATTTGGACAGCACCAGCATACAGTATACAGTGTATACAGTTTTTTGCCAGTCTCTCACGTGTTTCACTGACAACTAATTAACGAGTAATTCATTAACAGTTTTTGATTCATAAACAGCTTATATTTCAAATAATTCACCTAGATCTCTATTAGTTTTGTCGTGATAAAATAATTTTTATAATACATGTCAAAGTATGTAATTACTCCAAGACTTTCCATTATAATGTAATAAATACGTGTAAATAAAAGTTTACAACATTTAATTTTATAATAAAAATTTATATTTTAATCACTTCTTGACTATCGATTTGTTTTTACATTTATAAATCAATTGTAAAATAAGTTATAATAAAAATACACATTAAATGTGAGGTAAACATAAAGATTAATAACATGTAAAAAACTGAACACATATTAAAAACCCGAAACAAATTAAAATACTTTGATTTATAAATTATAAAATTAACACATAATTAAAATACATAAAGTATTATAATTATAATTAAATATAACAATAACTTTAAATGTAATCTTCATTTTAAAAATAGTATATAATAATCGTATAAATAAATAAATATAAATACAATTAAAAAATGTGTTTACAAATTAAACCTAATCATCGAAAATGATACACAATTTAATGCATTGTTCAAAACAATATCAACAAAATTACAATCATTTTATTACTCAAATTAATATCACAATTGTTTTTTGCATTCCTTGTCGTTGGGATCGGCGGGCAGTTTGAAGGGCTCGGACTTGGGTTCGCACACGTAGTGCGGACAGTGCTGTATGTGCTGAATGACCGCATGGCACGGGTCCAGACTCCACGACCGGATGTGACTGAACGCTGAACTAAAGTACCATTTCTGTGGCCGTCATAGAAATAGTCATTTAATTAATTACAATTAATTTAAACATAAATATTTAGTGTAATAATAATATCGTATGTTTTTATGTTTAAAATATGACTTTTTAAATTCAAGTAATTTATTAATAGTGAATGTCTTTCAACGGATCACTAAATGAAAACATTAAATGTAAACACATTCTGAAGAGCACTGGCACTGGAAATGTCTCATAAAAAGGGATAAATAGTAATTTTTAAATCACAACAAAATTCACTGAATTCCTAATCAAATGAAAAGATTAAATAGTTTACAAAATCTAATTATAATCAAAAAGTTTGTTATTTAATGTTATGATAGGAATTAGTGCTTAAAAAGCAAAACTCGCAAAAAATGTTATCAATCTTTTTAATCGACAAAAATATACTCTAAAAATAGACACAAAAATCTGTATTAAACTTGAAATTAATGTCTTAATGGATAATAAGATCTAAAAATCCACACTTTAGGGAAGAGAAAGAAAGAAAGAAAGAGAGAGAGAGAGAGAGAGATGGCCAGGGTTACTTATTATCGACAGAGCATTTAGTAAACTTTTTTTATGTCAAATTTCACGCTATAAACGAATTTGAAATCGAAATTTTTTTATCTCGAATATCTTTCGAGTTATTCGACTTAGAACTTTTGTTCGAAAAAATGTTTTTTTCAAAATATATTAATATCTTATATGATTTCAATGTAGATTTTAACGCTGAACACGAATCTGAAATCCAAATCTATTTAGGTCGAATAGTTTTTGAAATATTCGACTTTAAAGTTAAATCCAAAAATTATTTACCTAACCTAACCTAACTAAACTTAACCTAACCTAACTTATATTATGTTATATTTGGTTTGGTTATGTTTAGGTTAAGTTAGGTTAGGTTAGGTAACATTTTTAGCTTGAAATTTGACATAAAAAAATTTCACAAAATATTCTGTCGATAATAAGTAACCCTGGCCATCACTTGAGACTAACAATAATAGGCAACTCTTTCAACCCGTCGACCAGTGGTTTTGGCCAACGTCTTCATTGGCTGACCATAAAACTCAATGTGTTAATAGTTGTGATAATAGTCCTGTGACCACAACCATCACCACTACATCCACAGCCATGTCATCCACTTCTGCCAAATTGCAGAGAAGGCATAATCACTGGTGGAAAGTGTGTTGGATATACAATAACGGACAGTTCATTTGTCACCAACAGTCCAAACAATCCAATCTCAAGCAATTCCATCAACAGATCCGTTCCCTATCCATGTGCTCCACAAATGCCAACTCTATATTCAATGACAGATGTGTTAATAGGGATGAGTAAGTCTTGTTGAGTGCCTCTTATGTCGCGCTTCACAACTAAATAACAAATTCTCTCACTTTTATACTAAAAACTTTTATAACTCATTCATTGAAGCGATTATTCATTCGTCCGCTTTCTCTATCATATTCTCTCTCTTTTAATGACAAATTTTGAATGAAACCATAAAAAGTGAAAAAATAATTTCAGTCAACACTTAACTTATGTGAAAGTAAAGTATACTTACGGTTACGTTGAGGTGCACTTCAACAACGCTCGGGTCCGTACCGTCTGTGCGATTACTTGTGATATAAAATAAAAGTTTGCGTAAATCTAAACAGACATCGACTCTGATTCGTCGTTTTCATGGATAATAATCAAACGATTAGTTTAGTTGATGTATATATTCGCTGTACTTCTTTGTCGTTTGGCTCGTGTCTATAGTGTCACACAAACAGCCCAAACAACCCTCTTATACAGTATATCCCAATCCCTGCTGTCCTTCTCTCTCCTTCTCTGGTCTACTGAATAGTTCTCATTAGTTGTTCACTTGTTTCACAGTTTTATGACTTTTGCCATAGAGTTTTGTGCACTTGTATTGTTCACTACACCAAACATTTCCACAAAAGCGCTAAGATTTGTGTAATTTTTCATTGTTTTTCATTGTTTATCACAAAAACTTATTCCCAATTTGCAGGTCTTTAGAAGAGTTTAATTTTTTATATGCGTTCATATGTTTTTCGTTTCCGTTTTGATATATTTGTGTTTATTTCGATGGAAAAAGTGTATTAAAAATATTTATTTGATTTATATTTGGCAGTCAAATGTTCTCTATGTCTAAGCAAAACAATAATCGCATGGATTGCGAACCACAAGTGAATCCAAGTGTCGAGACTAAGCCCTCACACTATCCGCAACTTTCAGCTCCTAATCCACTTCATGGACAGACATCGCAGACATCATCGCAACCAATATTGGTCTCTGAATCCATGACAAGCTGTTCACCACAAATCAGTTCATCGGCCACTTCAGGATTTCTACAGCAAAAACTCACTCAACCGTTGACTGCATTATTAAAACAGAGATCTGAACATAAAAATAGTAATATCTCTCAGTTCTTCATTCACTTTAAGGGTAAATATTTATATTTATTATTACTACAGACAAATGACTTTCTCATCTCTCACTATATATCCTTTGCCTCTCCCTCTCCTCCCTCTCGATGTATATATAAATATTGCAATCATTTGGTGCAGGGATTGAATGGAGAGAAGAACAACTCAAATACCAAATGCCTTCACATGACTTACAGATGTTTAAACTTCAGACAAATGAAGTGAAGTTTGTTCGCAATCAGCAAAGGAAGGCTCAAATCAAACCACAACTCTTTCTCAACAAAACTATCAATTATTGCTTTAAAGTAATTTATATTATGATTGAATTGATTATATATTCGTTGAATAATCAATATTTTAATCTCAAATTTATAACTAATCAAATATTTTGTCTGCGAAACAGTGCAGAACTGCTATAGAAAACGGTTCATACGGTGTGAAGATCTCAGTGATTAAGAATGGAAACCAGAATATCGGGTACACCACTACTGCCGATGAGGAGGAATCCGCCGCTTCCAAAGTGATCCCTTCAGACCCAACCCATCCCACACTCAATGGCTCGACAGCTCTCTATCACATCCAGTGCTTTACATGCGAAGAATGTCAAGAGGTTTTGGTTGATCTGAAGGCCTATCTCTACACTAACAGCGATTCAACTGATGGCTCAAGAATTGTGAATACACTGTATTGTAGCCGTCATTTCGTTGAGTTATTCAAACCCCGGTGTCAATCATGTGATCACTTGATCTTTGATGAGGAGTGTACTGAAGCCGAGGGGAAGGCCTGGCATTTGGGACACTTTGCCTGCAATGAATGCAAACGATCGTTAGGCGGACAGCAGTATATTATGGCCGATCCCTCCAAACAGAGCGATAAGAAAGCACTGAATGCGACAAATCCTCAAATACCGGAGCGAAAGAAACAACAGTTACCGTATTGTTTGACGTGTTTTGACATACTTTTCGGTGAATTGTGCGAAGAGTGCGGAGAACTAATAGGATGTGATGTCGGCGCCATTTCACACGAGGGCAGATCATGGCATGCCATCGATGGCTGCTTTAAATGCAATCAATGTTCAAAACCATTACTCGGAAAACCATTTCTACCCGCTTTTGACGGAAGGATCTACTGTTCGATCACTTGTTCCCAACAAACCATTCAAAGGAATAGAAATCGGGACCGAAGAAAGCAAAGGCCGCCACACAATAGTGTCGCCAGTTATCAAAATATTAATATTAGTACTAATCATACAAATAATAATGACTTATCAAAGAGACCAGAAAAGTGTCAAAATAGTTATTCAATAGACGGACAAAATGTACAGCAAATGAATCAAACGTTACAAATGAGACCAAATGAACAAAACTATTGCCAAAAGCCCTTTGAAGATAAACATAGACTTCCTGTGAACGGAGTGAACGAACTATCCGTCAAAGAGATACCAAATAATGGATTACAGTTTAATAGTCTTCAACGAAACGATCAAATGAATGAATTTCATCACAAGTTTAAAGAAATTAAATTAAACGAAACCACAAATAGTTATGAAATGGAAAAATCACGACAAAATGATTTTGTAGTTTCCATTGAAGACAATCACATCTCACAAACAAATGTCACAAACTTTAACCAAAACTTTACGAATAATATAATGAATCAACAAATGCTTGATTACATCCAAAGATACCAACAGTTCAGCAGAGCTCCGGATTATGTGATGGAGTATATGAAACAGCAGCTGATCCAGAATGGCATCAATGGTGGCAACGATATAATCGGTGCCACAATTGAGTGCGGAAGCAGTTTGAGTGAAGACGAGCGCACAAACCATCACGTCGTCGACCATAAGATACTCACCACAAACCACAACAATAATTACAATCAGATGACATCAAAGACATCATCAGATTCTTCTAGTCTTAACGTAAACACATTTGACGCTAACAATAGTGCTGTCAATAGGAATGCAATGAAATACAACCCATCCATCACTTCATCATCTAATGAGACGACACCTCTTCTGCTCAGATCACTGGAAGAGAAGGCAAAACAATTGACACAAACCCGCAATCAAACCAAACAATTGTCTCACAACACGAAGATCTTTAGCGAACAATCTCTGCCACAAAGCGAATCGCCGTCACAGACATCGCAAGCGGACCAGTCGTCCAACAGTTCAATCATCGACAACAATAACTCAACGATCAGATCAATTAATGCAGACGTCATACAAGACGTGAGGAATAGTGTGGAAGTGGACACACCATCCACTCAATCAACGGCTCTTCAGTCGACGTCATCGCAAACCACTCCCGAAATAAACCCGCGTTTGGCTAATAACCAGAAATCGGTGACATTTGATCCGAGCGTTAAGGAGACAACGGGAACGCGAAGAGTGAATCGCAATCGACGGTCGAGACCAACGAAACGACACGAATGGAGTGATAATCACTCGTGTTCTACATGTAGTACTTGTTCCTCGTCTTCGTCTTCCAGTGACGACAACTTTGATTACGAGTCCACTCTCGAGAGGAATCGAAACCAATGGTTGGGAACCAAAATACAGTACGTATCCAACGATCGCAAGAAGAATGTCACCAATGGTTTGGTCCCAACAAGTGAACCAAACACTGTCCACAACAACGAGAGTTGTACCATATCTTAAACGCCCGGACATTAAGATTGTTTGAGTCATTCACTCTTCCATTACATTTAATATCTAATTATTTTCATTGCATTAAAACTATTTATTAATATATTTTTTAAATATTTAATATAAAAATAATATAATTTTTAAAATATTTTATCAATTTAATGGATAAATAAAGATTTTTATAATGTTTTAAACGGTGGCAAAAAACAGTCGAGTATTTCATTTATTTCAATATACAGTGAATTTGAATTGAAAATTAATTATTTCATACAATATTTAAATAAAAATGTCGTTTTTCTACTCAATTTAGAGATTATTAATTACTTTTAAGTCTTCTTATGATTAAAATAATGAGAGAAACGGTGAAAGTGTTTAGTTCTCAGTCTTAATGTTAAGTAACAAAGCATTGATTTATTACTTAATTATTACTTTCGCTTAAACTCTTAAATTAATAATTAATGTATATTTCAAATGCCTTCAAATCGATTGATTATTAGTTTGGATTATTAATACCAATTCGTGTCTCTATAAAGCCTTAAGTGATAATATATTAATAAATGAAAATTTGAAACTCATTTTAAATTATATTCAAAAATTTAAACCAATCCAAAGTATACACAAATGTTTGACAAATTTATTAAAGCAGATAAAAATCAATATAATTGACTAAATTATTGAAAATAATTTATTTTAATTTCTATTACAATCTATGATTTGAATGAATTCATAAGTTATCTAAATTTCGGACAAATAATTAATGACAGAATCTATAAAAATTAAAAAAGATATTTTCCACTAAAAAACTTCAAACATTTGTCACTAATTTCGCTATCATTTGACTATTATTGTAAATTTGATGGCAAATAATTGTGGACCACATCCAACACATGCCTGACCTAACCTAACCCATCGATAAGTCATACAAAGAGTTAAATAATTAAATATCATCTGCGAAAGCGTTGGGAAGAGTGAAGAGCGCATCCCTATTACATCCCTATCCCTACTGTAGAGTATTAGGGAATCCCTATTAGGGTTTGCCTAACATTGAGACCACAACTCCTGTACTAAACATAACTCCCTCTCAAGGGTTGTAACGAAACACATGTTTTGAAGCCATTTATGAAAACAACGACTGAATGATTGAAAGCAATGATCAGAAGACCCGCTAATGTGTCCAATGGTTTGCTCGCACTTCTAGTGGCCTTTGGTATCGGATCCGGTTATTACATCTTTGAGCCCACCGTTCGGGACCTGATCATCGAAAAGAGCCGACGTGACCAACAATTAGGACCCGTCACTGACGGACACATTATCGCAGAGAAGATCATCGAAAAGAAATAGACAACCATTGGATGAGATGGCCATCAAATGGAGGTCCGGAGCGATGGCGGGCGTCGGCCTCTTAGGCGTTGCACTGATTGGGATCACTGTTTTCTCTGCGTTTCCTCTCTATAAGGGCTATAGACTCTCCAAATTTGACGAAGAAGTCAAAGCAATGGTCAATAGACGTGACCATTCATGACGTGCTTATTATTCAATGAGTTTTTGTAGTTTTATCTCAAATATGTATTTAATTTAATCAAAGATTGTTTAAAATATTCAAAATAAATGATCACTAATTGAGTCCATTATTTGTTGCCGTTTTTTCTATGAATTAAATTTAATCAAAATTTAAACAAAACTGAAATTTATTGACAGAATTGCATATAATATGCAAAACAGCGACAAAAACAGTGCTTTTAATACCTTTAATACATTTAAACCTAAACTATATTTAACTAAATATTAATTAATTTCATAAATTTGAAAACAAGTGTTCATTTAAACGCTAATAAGTGTTGAGTTCTTCATCTACTTCTTGGCCGGCTTGTCGTCAGACCACTGGGTGTTAATGATTGGCACGTATTGTAAGACATACTTCCAGTCGAAAGCGAAAGCCACGGCCACCGCAGCCGCCGCTCCGTAACCAACGCCCGAACGGCCCCTAAATGGCGGACAAAACACATGTTATTCACATGTCTTCAGTAATCAATACATGCGGTCATGACTTGAGCTCATGAGTCACAGCTTGCGGTCATTTACGGGCGGATTAGACGACAAGACGTGATCGCGAACTCAGGACACGAATCAATGATAATATAAATACCAATTGAGTGACCAATTGATGGCTCGTCTGGGCGTGAGTTGAGGCCAAACGCCTTTCATTCCGTGAGACATCTCTTCTTGGGATCAGTAATCACTCCACACTATACCACACAATACAAGACAATACAAGACAACGAGTCAATCAATTGATCCAAACAGTGATCCAAAGGTTGAATCCATACATCAATTATGTCTCTGTTTTTGAACGCAAAACAAATAAAACGTCTTTTAATTCATAAATCGTTTATTCGTTTCATTTGTTTTGCATTTCATCTGATTTTGTGAATCACAAGAAGCGGATCCCAAGAGATGTCACATTTGATTAAAGCCAACGCTTCCCTTCTTCACCGGTTTCGGTAAATATTGACCACAAATACAATGCAAACAATTTGTTGATTGATTTGATCCGCCGTTCAGACCATTATTGGCCACCAATTGTCGTCTGGCGTCGACTTCCGCTTCGAAGCCATCGAAGCCTTCGAAGGACTTAATGACCACTAAAATGGATACCAATCAAGAGATTATGGATCCCATTGTGAAGGATATGAAGAATAAGTTGAGCGAAACCACACTCAAGACCGACACTCCGATGACTGTCCATGACTTCAATGGTGTCCCCAAAGAGCACATCTATGAGCGAAGGGTTCGCATCACTCAACCGACGAAGAATGCGATGCAATCCGGAACTTATGGAACCGATCGGTGGCTCATCGAGTTTGAGTCGAGAGAGCGCTGGGAGAACCCACTCATGGGCTGGACCTCAACGTTAGCCATAGTTTTTGATGTGATTTTATATGAATCTAATTATCACTAAATGGTTTGTTGACTGCTTTAGAGCGGATCCGTTGTCTAATCTGAACGTATGGTTTGCCACCAAAGAAGAAGCGGCAGAGTTTTGCCAGAAGAATGGCTGGTATTACGAGATAGTGGAGCCTTCGGTCCGTAAAAACCTCAACAAGAATTACGCCGAAAACTTTTCGTGGAGTAAAAGGACTCGCGTCGGATCCAAGTGATCCACTTCTTAGGCTCTTGTGGTTTAGTTGAGACAATAGATTGTATTATAAAAATTATTTAGTGCTTTAAATTGTTTTCTCGTTATAAAGCAAATTAAATTGTAATTTAAATCCAAATTATGGTTTTAATGACAGAATTTATTGTATTTAACTTGTATTGAATCCAATCAATCACTTCTAACATCAAAAGTAAGTTTTTATAAATGAAGTATTGAACAAATGATTCAATGATATACTCAACTATTATAATGTGTGTCCACTTTGATCATTACAACCAAATCATTGCCCAGTCTTTTATTATTGGTATTACCGATCATTTTGAAAGCTTAACGTAAAATCAATAATCAATATATGAGACATCAAATCATGGAAATAACATCATTTCAATTACCAATTCATACAAACCTTTCTGATATACTTTAGACTCTAAACGCAATCATTTATGATAACAAATATTGGATATGTTTATGGATAATGAATACAACATTTACTATACGGTATAATTAGGAAAATCTCATTTGTACTCATCTCTCATTTAGATGAGTATTGAGTACATTTAAGTGCTCTCCATTAGACTGAAAACGGAATAAACTGAAAAATATAATTTTTATTGAGTATTGGATTTACGAAATTATGTCTAAATCTTTGATTACATCATAAAAAGTGAATTAACGGCCAAAATATAAATTTATATATAAAAGAGATTTAATTCAAAACTAATCCATCATTTGCTTAAGAAACTATCGATTTTTTGGTTGATTTCAGGCACGGCTTGGAACAGATCGGCCACAAGACCGAGATCTGCCACTTGGAAGATGGGTGCGTCCGGGTCTTTGTTGATGGCAACTATTGTCTTCGAGTCCTTCATTCCGGCCAAGTGTTGGATCGCACCAGAGATGCCGACAGCGATATACAGTTCCTGTTATTCAATAGATTAATGCTTTAAATTGTATTGAAAATGACAAAAGCCTATGATATTTTCTCATTAATTATGTAAATGCAAACAAATCTAATTTATCGTTTTAAATATATAAGAGATACTAATATTTGTTAATTAAATTTTTTGGCTAAAAATCCTTTTTAACAAAAATATAAATACATTTCCAAAAGAAATTTTTGATGCGATCACTGATATTAATGAGAAATAATCACTGTTAAAAATTTTATCTGATTCACCTTTTTTGGACATTGCTAAAACGTGAATTTTCACCGAATTTATTTGACCGAATATTAAAAAATTCACGTTTTAGCAAATGTCCAAAAAAGTGATAGATTTGTAAGTTTTGATGTGTAGTTACAATGAAATGATGCGTTATTTGTGTGAATGTTTTGATAACTATTTCAAAGTATGAGTTGTTTTCACCGATAATTGAGTGCAAAGTATAGCAAAGAGTGGATTATAATTGGATTTGCAGTCAATTTGCAGTGAATTTAGTGAAAACATGTTTCGCCTCTCATTCGCACACAAATGCCTTTCCGTCGGACTTATGGTAAGCGAAGACACGACTCATATATGATAGCAATTGTATTGACTGATTGTTTTGGACAGCGATTGTCATGTCGTGGCGACCGTATGGCCAGTACTTTAGTGATCGTCGACCACAACAACGAAAAGCTATCGAAAGTCACTTTGAATACCATAAGCGCCGCCAAACAGATCGGCGGCGATGTCTCGTGTCTGGTCTTCGGCACCAAAGTCTCGGATGTCGTCCAGAGTTTGTCGAAAGTGAAGGACATTAAGAAGATTTTGGTCGCAGAGAGCGATGCCTTCAAAGGCTTTTTGCCCGAAGTGTTAGCGCCGTTAGTCGTGTCCACACAAAAACAGTTCAATTTCACGCATATTATGAGCGGTTCCACAGCTGTGGGCAAAGTATGTGTCCACACATTCACTGAACCATCAAATTATAACTTACATGATTTGGCTGTCATTTGTTTAGAATCTGATCCCAAGAGTGGCCGCACAACTGGACGTATCGCCCATTTCTGAGATAACGGCCGTCAAGAGTGAGGACACGTTTGTGCGACCCATTTATGCGGGAAATGCAATGCAAACCATTAAAGTGAAGGACGCCATCAAAGTGTTGACAGTCAGGGGAACCGCTTTCGAGGCGGTGGAACCCGAAGGAGGGAACGCCACCTCTGAAAAGGTGGCCACCGATGGCCTGAAGAACGATTTGTCCGAATGGTTGAGTCAGGAGTTGACTAAAAGCGAAAGACCGGAACTGACGAGCGCTTCGCGAGTCATATCCGGCGGACGAGGAATGAAAAGCGGAGACAATTTCAAGATGTTATACGAATTGGCGGACAAATTGAACGCAGCGGTCGGCGCCTCCCGTGCGGCGGTCGACGCGGGCTTTGTTCCCAACGACATGCAAGTCGGACAGACCGGCAAAATCGTTGCACCGGTACTACTCATAGGCTTTTGTCATTTTCAATACAATTTAAAGCATTAATCTATTGAATAACAGGAACTGTATATCGCTGTCGGCATCTCTGGTGCGATCCAACACTTGGCCGGAATGAAGGACTCGAAGACAATTGTCGCGATCAACAAAGACCCGGACGCACCCATCTTCCAAGTGGCAGATCTCGGTCTTGTGGCCGATCTGTTCCAAGCCGTGCCTGAAATCAACCAAAAAATCGATAGTTTCTTAAGCAAATGATTGATTAGTTTTGAATTAAATCTCTTTTATATATAAATTTATATTTTGACCGTTAATTCACTTTTTATGATGTAATCAAAGATTTAGACATAATTTCGTAAATCCAATACTCAATAAAAATTATATTTTTCAGTTTATTCAGTTTTCAGTCTGTACTCAAATGTACACTTAAATGTACTCAATACTCATCTATTATAAATGAATTGAAAGGAACCAGACAAACGTAAGTCACTCATAGAAATAATTATATTTTCATCGTGAATTATATTAAATATTATGATTCATAGTGGTATACTATATTAATATGTTTAATAATGAATATATTTTACAGTTGTTATTCAAATACGACTTACGTTTGTCTGGTTTCGTTCAATTCAAATGAGAGATGAGTACAAATGAGATTTTCCTAATTATACCGTATAGTAAATGTTGTATTCATTATCCATAAACATATCCAATATTTTTATCATAAATGATTGCGTTTAGAGTCTAAAGTATATCAGAAAGGTTTGTATGAATTGGTAATTGAAATGATGTTATTTCCATGATTTGATGTCTTATATATTGATTATTGATTTTACGTTAAGCTTTCAAATAATCGGTAATAACACTAATAAAAGACTGGGCAATGATTTGGTTGTAATGATCAAAGTGGACAAACATTATAATAGTACAGTAAATCATTGAATCATTTACATATTGATCATTGAATCATCAATCAATACTTCATTTATAGAAACTTACTTTTGATGTTAGAAGTGATTGATTGGATTCAATACAAGTTAAATACAATAAATTCTGTGATTAAAAACATAATTTGGATTTAAATTATAATTTAATTTGCTTTATAACGAGAAAACAATTCGAAGCACTAAATAATTTTTTATAATACACTCTATTGTCTCAACTAAACCACAAGAGCCTAAGAAGTGGATCACTTGGAGCCGACGCGAGTCCTTTTACTCCATGAAAAGTTTTCCGCGTAATTCTTGTTGAGGTTTTTACGGACCGACGGCTCCACTATCTCGTAATACCAGCCATTCTTCTGACAAAACTCTGCCGCTTCTTCTTTGGTGGCGAACCATACGTTCAGATTAGACAACGGATCCGCTCTAAAGCAGTCAACAAACCATTTAGTGATAATTAGATTCATATAAAATCACATCAAAAACTATGGCTAACGTTGAGGTCCAGCCCATGAGTGGG